TGGCAGCTTGTGGCCACTTGGGCTGAGCGGTGCTGGGCTCCAGGGTACAGCTGGAGCTGCCAGACAGCACCCGGTGCAGTGCCCTGCTGAGCCAGGCTGCACCCAAGTGATACGGCAGCAGCAGCACAAGTGCCAGGCAGCTGGGGCCACTCCCCACTGTCACGCACCATGTGAGGTGGGGTTCTGCCATGAGGCCCCAAGTGGCCCCAACCGCTGCTGCTACTGCTGGTGAGTAGGGGTTGTGCAGAGGGCGGGGCGGGCAGGGGAGCAAGCAGGGAGCAGGGGCTGTTTAGGGGAGTGATCAGGGAGTGGGGGCTGGGCAGGGGAGCAAACAGGAAGCAGAGGAGCAATCAAGAAGTGGGGGCTGTGCAGGGGAACAAATCGGGAAGCAGGGGCTGGGCAGAACCTACCAGAGCATCTCTGTGGAGAACTGAGCATCCGGTGGCCTCAAGGCATGGTCTGGAACCATTCCTTGCCCCACAGTTTCACAGGAGTCTAATTTTGCCCATGCACTGCAAATTTGCAGCGCGGGGAACTTTTTTTGTTCCTTCATGTGCAGCTTGCAAAGTCTCAAAGGGGTTTGAGACACTGCAAAAGGCACATGCGCACTCGTCTGGATGGGCCCATGGAGGGCACGGTCATACTAATCATACGCAACAGACTGAGAGAGGGGCCAACAGAGAGATTCTGGATGAACTGTTTGGGGCCCAATTTGGTGATATTTGCCATATATTTAAGGCTGGTGAAGAAATAGGAATCATTGGAAATGGGAAAAACAGGCAGAGCTCAGCTGCAGGAGTGAAGAGGAAGTAAAATGTGTGCAATATAGTGGCTCACTATGACTTGAGAAAGAGTTACTGCTGAAAGGGGCTGCAAAAAATAGACACTAGGGCCATGCAAAATTTCAGCAGCCGTTTTGTTTTGGTGATGTTTCAAGTCGTTTCAGCACCTGAAACAGTGAATCCAAATTGAAACAGAAGGCTGTGGAACACAAACGAAACAAGGCATCCAAAAGGTTTTGGAAATGTTTCAGGGTCTCCTCACCGCTGCTGCCTGCCTTCTACAGCCCCGTGTTGCCAGGGGTGGTGAGGAGACCCCTGGCACAGATCTCTGCTCCCTGCAAAGCCAGGTCGCACAGCAAGGCAGTGCTGGTCCCTGATGCATGACTTGGCTCTGTAGGGAACAGAGATTTGCACAAGGGTCTCCTTACCACTGCTGCCCGCCCCGTGCAGCCTCACATCACCGGGGCAGCATGGGGCAGGCAGCAGCAGCAGCGAGGGGACCCCCAGCACGGATTCTGCTCCTTGTGGAGCCGAGTCACACAGCAGGCACCAGCAGGTTTGCTCGCCGCTCTGCACTACTTCCCTGACCCACAACCCAGCGTGACAGGGTTCAAAGATCTGCGCAGGGTTCTCCTTGCCTGCACGGAGGGCAGCAGCCCTCCCCCTCCGCTGCATGAGCCACCCATGGCCCCATCCTGCTCCCTGCTGGCACCCTACAACTCCTGACCACAAACCCCACCTGGCTGGACAGAAGGGCTGTGCGAAATTTGCAGCCTGTTTGAAACAGTTTTAGCTAAAATGAAACAGGATAGTGATCTGAAACACCAAAACGAATCACTGTCCTCCAAAATGGCTGAATCCAAAACCGAACGGAAACACAGCCGTTTCACACAGTCCTAATGGACACTACCATATGTCCTATTTAGATTGCTGCACTGATTGAAAGCCTGATCTATGCCTTAAAAAGGCAGAGAGAGGATTCAACAGAGCAATGGGGTGTAAGGGGTGGAGGATGAGGACCTGAAGCTCAAGGCAATGGCAGTGGTGGCAAGTAAGCATAAGGTGGAAAAAGAGTTGAAGAGCCGAAATGATTTGCTATGTATTAAGGCTGTTTAGTGCATGCCCACTTCACTTCTACTATGCAATGAAATCAATGTGTCTACATCTTTAAATTCTCTACGACCATCTTCACACTAACAGGGATAAAAAGAAAACAAAGGAGCTTAAGACCAGGAAGAAGAAGCCTGATAACAAAAGAGGTGAGTCAGAGGAAGAGCCAGAGAGCAATTTCCTGTTGCTAATACCTCTGGTTTCCAGCCTGGAGTGGTGACCAGAAGGCGGGCAGCGGTGGGGATGCAAGAATACGCAAGTCTTCCTAAACACTGGCGATTCATAGAGGATCCACATGGGTGCATGTGTGCCCCCTGAGACTGGCGGTGCACCCCCTGCAATTAGCCACCGCCAGCGCTGCTGGCAGCACCTGCAGGCAGTTGCTACTCACCACCTGCCCCCTCCCCCCACCATCGACACCTCTGCAGCTGCCTGCAGGAGCTCCCCGCTCACTGCCACCATGCCCTTTCTGCCAACACTGCCACCGCTGCCTGCAGGCAGTCACTGTTCCCCCCCAGCCTCTGGGGGCACATGTCATTCATGTTCTTAAATGTGAAAGCAATCCAGCAGCTTGCAAGTGCTACAGGAATGCAAGTGAGGAAGGGGAAGAGTCTACCGACCCAAGCAGTAGCACAGGTAAGCCCTAAAAGTACATGCACACTCAGCCCAAATCAAGCACAGACAAACCTTAAAGGGACAGGTGCACTCGTTTTAAAACAAGCAGAAATGTCACTGACAACAGTTTCACTTGATGTCTGGAGTATCTTAAGGAAGAAAGGATGAGAACAAGTGTTGAACCAAGGAAAAGCAGACAATCTGCCTACACAAATGTGGTATACCAGGGGAGAGGGATTATAAACACTTTGAGAAAAGGTGGAGATGGGAACCACCCTGGTGGTCAGGAACAAATGAGAACAAAGTGGCAGGGGTAGCAATATTATTCAAGAACCCAGAGCTGAGAGCAAAACAGGTAGAAGAAGTCACCAGCAGCAAGTTGCAAGGGAAGATACTACTCGTCAGGGGAACAGAATTAGAAATTTTCAAAGTATATGCACCACCAGACAGGGAGGGAAGGAACGCACTGCTTGGGAAGCTATTGGTTTGTGTGGTTGGAGGGAGACTGCACATAACAGCGGGAGATTTCAACTGTATAATCAAAGTGGGTGACAGAAATGGGGAAGGAGAAAATGGAGCTTTAGACAGCTCATCCAGACTGTTAACATATATAATAAAAGAAGAGTTGCTACGAGATGTTTGGGCGGGGGAGAAAGTTTTCACTAGAACAGACCCCAGTGGAAAGAACCAATCAAGAATCAACTTTGTGTTTGCATCAAAAGGAAGGGATAAGGAAGAAGGAAGCCATACATGTGGCTTTTGGTAATCACCAGATGCTGAAAGTAGAAAAGAGTCTTAGTAAAAGCCCCACGAGAGAAGGGACTGTAGAAGTTAAATGTGTGGCTGTTACAAGATGAAGAGATAGACAAGATAGTATGAGGGCTGAAAAAATATTATGGGAGTACCAAAGAACGGTGGATGATGGGTGAAGAGGAGGACAAGAGAATTTTTCAAGAAGGAAGGCCAAAGATGCGCTGTGAAAAGAATGAAAGAGTTAAGAGAGCTACAAAGAAAGATGCAGGAGCTGCTAAAGGAAGCCACAGAAAGAAGACAGATATGAAAAGAGCTAGAAAAAACAAGGCAAGAGTTAGAAAACTAGTGTAAAAGAAAGATAAGATAGAACATGTTCTTAGCACAAGGACCCTGGGTAGAAAAAAACAAAGAGTGGTCTCAATACATTTCAGCCAGAGTGAAGGTGGCAAAAGGAGTATAGGAAGAAGGTGGTCCCCAAGTGAAAAAACAGGAAGAAGTGTTGGAGGTGACAGAAAGATTTTATGAAGAGCTATACCAGAAGAAAACAGACAGGAAGAAGATGAAGGATTTCTTGGAAGAGACTGAAGAGAAAGTAGAGGAGGAGGAAGCAAACAAGACAGAAGAAGAGATAAACTTCAAGAAAGTGGAGGAGTGTTTAAAAACCTTTAAAAGAGTGAAGTCATCAGGAGCAAATGGACTGCCTATGGAATTATATGGGAAGTTTGGGGCATGAGTAGGGAAGGATATAGTGGAAGTGTTCAAGGAAACAGCAGAAACAAGAGAAACAAGAAAAGATTTTAGAGGTGTTGATATCTTACTCCTCAAGAAAGGGGAGAAGGAACTCTTGAAAAACTGGAGACCAATTACATTCCTTAATATGGACTATAAATTAATGGCCAAGATGCTGGCTTTGAGAATGAGGAAAAACTTCCTAAAGATGGTACATGAAGACCAAGTATGTGCAATACCAGGTAGAAACATCTCTGAAGCAATCAGAGTGATCAGAGATACCCGCATCCAAAAAAGGAAACCACCGTTATAGCACACTTAGATAGAGAAAAAGCATAAGACAGAGTGGATCATGATTACACCTTTGAAGTGCTAGAAAAAATATCAGAGTATGGAGAAGTGATGGGAACTAAACTAAACACATTTAAAAACACCATAATGGAAGTGGGGAACTGGAGGGAGTTGGAGTAGCCAGTCACTATGTATGTATGTAGTTGCTGAGGGTTAATTAGAGAGATTCAAGTTACCATATTTTCTCACACACAAATGCATACCTTTTTCCCCCAGAAACCAGCTGCTTGAAATGGAAGTATGCACTGTAAGTGAGGACACATGGTAAGAGTAGTTTTTGCTGCTTAAGCTTCTTCTAGGCAAAAGCAAAAGTAACTCTGCACATGATCTAGAGGGAGCAGAACAATGAGCAGGCTCATCTCCTTTGCTGTGGCTACTTAGTTACTTACAAGGAAAAATCTCTTTTTCTTCATTCTACCTTTCAAAAACAAGGTGGGGCATGTTTAATGTGAAAAAGCACAGTAATTAGTGTCCAGTTGTTTATCAGGTGCATGCATTACATATTACAAGGAGAAGCATGTGTCACAAGATTCAGGATTTCTAATGGAACAGCAGCAATGGTGATCTAAAAGCTCTTCCATTTGGTAGTTATTCCATCACCTGTAGGAAATAAACTGGGGTATATCAATTTGATTCCTAGTGAGACAGATATCTCCTTACCAAATCCAGCACCAGTGACTTGGACTGCCTCAGCAGAGGGAATGGGTCACAGAGAATGAGCTTCCCTCCAGCGCCTAGTGGTGGTGGTCCCTTAAGTCACACTGGCAGAAGGCAGCATAGGCAATGCTTGGACTGCTCCTGCTCATGCTGTACTGTCCTGTGGAAAACAAAGACCTCAGTCATACACAGTAGTGAAACTGGCACCATGCACTTTACATTTCAAATATTTAAAGTTTAAGATCCCTCAAAACATTGCAAATTCTGCAAGAATGAAGCTATACTACGGCAGAAGTGCTCCCCTTTCCCCCTTTTGGAAGTCGCCTTTTCAACCTGCTGACAGAATAAGAGGAGAAAAGAAAAAAAAAAGATGGAGAAAAAGTTTTGAAATTTTGTCCTCTCCTGCTGACTACCTAGGAACATACAGTACTGGAACTCCCCTTCTTTTCTGGCACCACCTATGAAGTTAATGATGCTGACAAGATGGAAGGTAAGAACCTTTCAACACAGACACAGTTGACAAAGGCACTTTCAAAGCAGATTTCTGACAGACTGGGAGTGCAAAGGGCCGTGTAACTGCAGAGAAACCTGGTTTTAGGAGTCAGAGATAGATTCTCTGGCCCAGGGCTGCAAGAGGAGGGATGCTGTTATGGCATTAAGATTATGACTTCAAACTCCAGAATTCCAACTGAGATTTGGATACCACTTATCACTACTGGGCTGGGGTAGAGACACTGATGCCGTGGGTCAAGCAGATCAGATGAAATGGAGAAAAAAAATTCAAATAAGACTGAATCATCAGGCCTTTCACCCCAAAGCTCCCTCCCGAAGTCCAGATTTTTATTTAAACTTGCTTTACTTTCCTTGAAAATTACTAGGGGTGCACTCACATCTGTGGGGGGCCAGCAGGGGAGATCATGCTCAGGGGCAACCAGCATAGGTTCATCAAAGGCAGGTCCTGCCTGACCAACCTGATTGCCCTTTATGACCAAGTAACTAAATCCTTGGATGATGACTAGGTCGCCATGGACCTAGTCTTTCTAGACTTTAAGAAGGCCTTTGACACTGTCTCTCACCCCATTCTCATCAA